ACTAGGTCTTTTCGGGACTAACATATGGTTTAATTTTATTTCAATAATTTGCTTGCACATAGGGGTCTTTAGCAGTGGGAGGAAATCGGAGGATCTGCAGAAAACCCACGAGGTTGGGCAGGCAACCTTACTCCTTGTCACGTACACAAGAGGATTCGAAACGACGCCAGTTGACTCAATGACCGGCCTTATGATACAGCGCGCACATGCTAACCAATCAGCCATCCAGACCCCCCGGCCCTTAATGGATAAGTTTTACTTTTTATCTTCATGTAGTACCTACCAAAACAGTTCTTTAAGATGGCAAGAGTCGCGGTGGCTCATCGAGTATGATCGTGATTCACTAACCACAAGTTTCTAGGTTCTATCTTAGTGTTGGTGGCATGGACGAAGAATCGAGCAAGAAAAAGTGTTGACTAAAAACTGAGGTCCAACTGGGTACTAATTGGCAGGTACATTCAGGGAAACTTTGACAGAATTTGAAGAAGAGTAATCGAAAATGCTTCTATCAGGGGAAAATTTCCTTCCTTGTGTTTGTTGGTGTAGAAAAACAGAATGTTAAACCCCTTTCATTTCTGTGAGAGTGAGAGAGAGAGAGAGAGAGAGAGAGAGGGGGAGAGTTGGGGTTTAATGTTCACTCAACACAAACCATGTCATTTTGAGACTAACATATGGTTCAATTATATTTCAATAACGTCTACTCGAAACACAGAGAGAGAGAGAGAGAGAGAGGGGAGAGAGAGAGAGAGAGAGAGGGGAGAGAGAGAGAGAGAGAGAGGTGGGTTTAATGTTCACTCAACACAAACCATGTCATTTAGAGACTAACATATGGTTCAATTTTATTTCAATAACGTCTACTCGAAACACAGAGAGAGAGAGAGAGAGAGAGAGAGAGAGAGGTGGGTTTAATGTTCACTCAACACAAACCATGTCATTTTGAGACTAACATATGGTTCAATTTTATTTCAATAATTCGCTTGCGTATAGGGTTCTTTAGCAGTGGAAGTAAACCAGAGGACCGGGAGATAACCCATGAGGCTGGACAGGCGACCCTACTACTTGTCACGTACAACCGGGGAATCGAAACCACGCCAGTTGACTCAATGACAGGCCATATGATACAGCACACACATGCTAACCATTCGGCCATCCAACCAAGACTGTACAGTATTCAACATATCAAATTCAAAGATCTGGGTACACACAACACACAATTACTGCTTGAATTCGTTCTGAAACTAAAAATGTCTTTTACACAGACTGAAGAAAAAAGAACAAATTGTTCAAGTTGTCAAAATGAGTAAAGATCAAATTTTTTTTATACAGAGTTGTCAAAGATAATGAAGAACATTTATTTCAGTTTATCAGCATGGGACATCATAAAAAAAACTCAAAGAAATTTTTCATCACCCTAATATTACTAATGCCACATCAAATAAAAACAATTCTTCTCACAATACAGAACCCTTTACAATTGACTTAGTTTTTGGAAATCATTTTTTTTTTTTCAATTTACAATTGACTTAGTTTTTGGAAATCATTTTTTGTTTAATTTTTTTTTTTAAATTGTTAAAAACTAGAGTGCATACTGAAAACCAATTAAGACTAAATGGATTTTTAAGGTAAAATAAAAAGAATCGTTAATTGTAAAATGTCATTTTTAACTAGATGTCGTTCATAGTTCAGTGAATTTCAGAAAATTACTCATCGAAGATTGATTTACTAATTGTAAGACTTTAATTTGCGCTAAAAACTAGTCTCATCTGTATATCCAAAAAAACAAAGACTTGCTGATTTGCGATTATAATAGTAAAGTACATGAAAATATAATCTAATGAAAATTAATTTTGCAAGCTTTAAAATTAAAAAAAACGAAAGACAAATTCAAGATTACTGCTGATTTATTATATATTATGTAACTATAATCTAATGAAGGTCCATTTTACAAACTTTGAAACTTTCAAAAAAACCAAATTATTCTGTAGTAAAATCATAACCTTCTCCCCCAGGAGTAATCAACGCATCGTGATTATCAAATGGAAGGAATTTTATTTTTAAAAAAAATGGTACAGAAATTGAAACTTCTCAAACAGGAAGATATGAAATGAATCACATTATAATAATTCATTTTTGTTTTATTTTTACGAGATTTTATCTCGATTCAAAAATCAATTGTTTCCTTCTTGTACATCCTAAAATTCAATCATCTCATAAGCTGGACAGGATCAGAAACAATGAGAGCAAAATCATCTTGTAAATTTTCCACAAATACCAGCAAATCCTTGTCTAGAGCCTCACCATGTACTGTCTTAAGACAATCAAACATCTTGTATCCTCAAGACTTAGGAGATGGGAAAGCCTGATTTAAGAAGCTCAATTAACAGTATCATTGACTACCAACAGAATTTCCACTATGAATTAACCCTTATCAATACCTGACAGCCACGCAGCTTTGATTTTTTATGATGATGGATGGTTGTGGATGTATCGTGTCAATTGTACAAGCACCATCTCTTGATTATGTTCGGAATCTGATTAAGAATTAGTCCAAAAAAAAAAACCAAACTAAGAAGTCACCACTTGTTGGAACCCAATTAACAATCAGACATTGTAATTTGAAAAATGACAGTAAAAAAAATTTGAATTCCTAATCGTACTTGATCTTTTTAGCTAGACTCTCGTCTGGTTTGTATCTATGTATTCTAATCTCCTAGTTCATAATCAAATGATAATTGAACTAGGTTTGATACAAGACAGTGGGGTTAGATTACCATTTGATAAAAGATTCCCATAAAAACTCAAGTTCCAGTATCATTGATTCCTTAACAATGTGGTTTTCCAAGTCATGGCATGTAAATTTATTTTCCACAGGGATAGCTATAACAATTTATTGTCAGTCTACATAACTTAATTTTATAGCTTCAATAAAAATAATTGTTATGTTTATTCAACATCCAAGGAGACCTTTCAAACCCTGAGTACATATAGAGTTTGGTCTCTCAACACAAACTAGGGAGAGGGGTTTTTTTGTTGCCCAATTCCTACCAGGAGCAAATTCCACCCCAAAACAACATGTCAAATTTGGATGAAATCCATCAAGTACTTTATTTAGAAAAAGACATAAAAACCAATTTTTTTTCAAATTTAAAATCTACCCAATGTCGGAGTCAACAGATCAAGAAATATCAAATACAAATATGCCTCATCCCATCTCACAAAATCCATGGAGAATGTCACTCGGCAAACCTCAGCAGATTCCGTTACTCTACATCTAGCCTCGGCTGTGTGACGGTAAGTGATATGTACCTACGCCTATACAATTGCGATGCAGCACCGGTTTTCTTACTAGGAAAACTTGCCACTTTTAAAAAAAAGTTATCAAAATTGTGTCGTTCAAAGCGTGTGTAGAATTTTCAGTGCAAAGTTGTCCTTGTTTGAAGAAAATCGGATAAACTAGAAAGAAAAACAGCTTCAGACTTTGAAATATTTGTATGTGTGAAGTGGGTCAATTTGCCCATTTAAAGAGGTATGACATAAGCTAAAAACAAAAGATCCACCAATATTAGGAATTTAAGAGAAAATGCGAATTGCTTTACGCATGTACATGTGCTTGCATTGCATGTTAATTTCAGCCACGCGTATCAACAATTTGTTCCAGATTATGCAGGTACATCGACAAAATATTCAATATTTGAAGAAAAATGAGCAATTTAATTACAATAGGCAGAACAGCTGGCTAGTTTATTTCATTTTAAGTGAATATGGTCTCTAAAATATACCATTCCTTTTTATAAAACAACAATGGAATTCATATGATTAATTGTCTGGTATTTAAATTAACTCAAATATTTTGTATAATTAGTTCATGGTTTTGTTAAGAAAATGCAACATATGGATACGTTCACATATAAAAAGTTGGGCGTCAGTGGGGGACAAATGATTCAAGCTAGCCTATATATTTATGTAGGCTTACTAATCATCATAGTTAATTACATGGAATCAATAAATATGGTTCACAAAAACCACAGCCCTTCATTTATTTTCTGTCCATGTCAAACCTCTTGCCTTAAATTTCATTTTCCACTGCTCTGTGAAACCAAGGGGCATAAATAATTCATAAAATGCATGGCATTGGCAAATTGGATTTTTGTACAAAACCATAGAAAAAAAATTGTGTGTGAGATGAATTTGGGATTTATTAATAATAAATGAGACGTGGAATACATGACAATATACATGTATGCGTTTGCACATCTTTTGTTCATATAGTATTTGTTTGACCTGCAAATGAAATGAAATGAAACGAAATGGGGTTTAACGTCCTACTGTTCTGCTCCTGACTGGGCTTAATGAAGACGGGCATATGCCATACAGTGTGTTATGAGGGAAAATCTTGCCAGGGTAGCGGTACTATGGCCTACTCTTATATCGAATTCCAACTGCCAAGGGACCTTTTATATGCATGCGAATGTATATACGGAACCTTGTTTTTTTCACCACATCCGAACAACTAGACAGCTGTCCTTGTCAGGTCCTCCGTCCTGCACCATTGACAAGAGGAAACCATGTCGGAAAATCCTGATGAACTTTCTTGGCAAATGCAGGGATTGAACACGCGATGTCCAGGCTAGCAAGCCAGCGTCTTACCCACTTAACCACCGTGACTACGACCTACAAATGATTTGCCAATTTGGTTTCAACATTAATATTGTATAAAATAGGGCTGTATTTTCAACATTATCTTTACCTAGGTATTCTTAAGTTAATGTTATAACCTATGAAGACACTGGTCATTTAATTCTCCTTACATATAGCTGCTTGCTGAAAGTAGCAGGGACATTGCATAAACCAAACTATTTCCATTTTTTTCTTAATATTCCTTTATTATGTACCGTGAAACGAATTACACAATACTTTTAATATATAACCATAACAAAGCCAATTGTCCAAGACTCGTCTTAAAATTTACAAAACATTAAAGAAAAGCAAAGTAAACTTACGAAATTTCTCCAAAAATTTTGAATGCATCCCTCAGTTGGTGTGTTTCTATATCGGGGCTAAGATCACCAACAAATATATGGTAGTGCTCTGAAAAAAAGACAAGTAAATGAGATATTACACGATCATATATTTTACACAAAATATCCTATATCTAAGGGCTTAGTCAAATGGAAGTGGTCTATAGTATGCCATTTTATTTTCGTTCTTTTCTTTTTTTAAATTCCTACAAACTGTCAAGGAACAAGTTTAAATGTTCACTTCCAAATAGTACGGTTGGGAATTTGAGGTTAATATTTAATTCTCAGATTCAAGCCAGAACACTGAAAAGTACCCTGTTTTTCTGAGGGTGATATTTGTACGTTTCTTGCATGTTTTAAAACAAGGACAAATTTTTAATACGACTTATGTCGACTGCCTGAAAAAGACAAAAAGAGAACAAAACAAACAAGTAAGAAAAGGCATACTTCTATCCTTGCGATTGTTTATGTGGATGGACTTAACTTGTATGTCCTTCTTCAGGGTGAAGCCTCAATACCTGCAATAATGTCAGCACTTTTCAACTTAATACTAAATGTTTATATAGTGTCCTTAATAACTACATGTTGGACTTAAAAAAAATATTATTCTATGTGACTAAAGCCAAATTATTAATAAGGAAATGATATATTCTTTGTAAAACTTATCAAATTCAAAGCAATAACTTAAAAACAAATATCTAAAACCGGTAATATGTATAAAATGTAATTTTACATCAGTGAAAATGAAATGGGGTTTAACATCCTACTATTCTGTTCCGAACTGGGCTAATGAAGATGGGCATATGCCATACAGTGTGCTATGAGGGAAATTTCCGAACTGAGCTAATGAAGACGGGCATATGCCATACAGAGTGCTATGAGGGAAATTTTGTGTGCTATGAGGGAAATTTTGCCTGGACAGCGGCACTACAGCCTACTCTTATATCAGTTCCAACTGTCTAGGAATCTTTTACGTGCATGCCAATGTGTACAGGGGACCTGTTTTTTTCGTCCCATCCGAACGACTAGACTTCTTAGGTAATGCATCGATCGAACACCCGACCTCCAGGCTAGCGAGCCAGCATCTTACCCACTTAGTAATTTTACATCAGAAGAGCAATGGCATCAATGTGTTTATATACTAGAAGTAAACAAATTGTTACTGATATTAGCAATTTTAATCAGATCTATTTGAATCAGATGGTACTGACTAAATGATTTCTGGTAGACAAAATGATTTCATATTTATAACTTTGTTTCAAAATAATCAATGGTATGGAGGTCAATCAATGACATAAAAATACGGAAATGGATGGGAGAAACATGTAATGAAACCAGTTTGAAAAATACAGCCACTTGTGTTTTAAAGTTTGCTAAACTTAATCATTTCAATCCCACTCTATAATAAACCTGGGGGCATACAGAACTACATCATGGTCCACGTTTTATCAAACATCAACTAATTTCTATGATTGGATTTAATAACAGTAAAACATTACCATACATGAAAGAAACGTTTTTCTGTTACACAGTTTAACAACCTCTTAGATTTTTCTTAAAATCTTTTAGCCAACAATTATTGATTTGAAATGAAATGAAATAAAATGGGGTTTAACGTCCCACTGTTCTGCTCCGACTGGGCTAATGAAGACGGGCATACAGTGTGCTATGAGGGGAAAGTGTGCCCAGGCAGCGGCACTGTGGCCTATTCTTATATCAAATTTCAATTGTCAGGGGATCTTACACTGTAACACAGGTATCATTTAATCTTGTGTATCTAGCACTAATTTCTTTCACATTCATTTAATATCAAATCTTTGTTTTAAAATCGTTTAAAATCACCAGAAATCATCTAATTTGTACTTGTGTCCAGTTTAAAGCTGACTGATTAATTTTGATAATGAGTGTCCAATTTACAAGTATATAATTCCCTGACCACTGTTCAAAAATTAATCATTATACATCAATAATCAATTGGGTTGTTTATTTTTTAACAGAGATTGAGAAATTAAACACTTGTAAATTGGACACTCATTATCAAAACTGAATGGTCAGCTTTAAACCGGACACAAGTACAAATTAAACGATACATGGTGATTTTAAACAGATTTTACGAATTTTTAAACAAAGATTTGATATTAAACGAAAGTGAAAGAAATTAGTGCTAGATACACAAGATTAAATGATACCTGGGTTACAGTGTTATGTACCACTCAGTTTTCGTCCCATTTATTATCTGAACATCTACATATGGATGACAAATCTTTTATCATTTCCTGGTGCCTGATTATTAATTAAGATGAAGGTCTAATATGTAATAAAATTTTATCTATTTAATTAGCAAGTTGTAAGTGTTGGAGACCAAAGGGTTAAAGGTAACATGTTTCTATCAATATTTATTAATTATCCTACTCAAATTGGTCATACCCATCTGTCATATATTGACATACACAATGAGGAAGTAGATATATCGCGCAACACCGACTATAGATGGTTCACACATTAATAATTTTATACATTAAACTCATTACCTTATACCTCAGATACCTTATGGCAATAGCAGAAACTCTCTATTTCTATGAAATGAAATGGGGTTTAATGTCTGATTGTTCTGCTCCCACAGGCTAATAAGAGAGAGAGAGAGATCCACAGACACAAAGTTGGTCATTTTGGGACTAACATATGGTTCAATTTTATTTCAATAATTCGCTTGCACATAGGGGTCTTTAGCAGTGGGAGGAAACCGGAGGACCCGGAGAAAACTATTGCTTAATGAATGATTTAGATCTTCGAGAAAGAAATGGGGTTCAATGTCCACTCGATACAAACTAGATCATTTTGGGACTAACACATGGTTCCATTTTTATTTCAATAATTCGCTTGCACGTAGTAGTCTTTAGCAGTGGGAGGAAACCGTAGGACCCAGACAAACCCATGAGGTTGGACAGGCAACCCTACTCCTTGCCATGTACAACCGGGGAATTCAAACCATGCCAATTAACTCAATGACAGACCTTATGATACAGCGCACATGTGCTAACCATTCAGCCATCCAACCCTCCGATTTAGATCTCAAAACAATAATCTATGCAATTTAAATAACTGTAATTTTAATGTTTTTGGGGGATCCATCAAAATCTCATCTACCGATAGATGTGATAGAGGTTAACTGGTTCAATGCTTCATTTGTGCATTGAATTTAATTCGTCTGATATTTTCGCTTCAACTCACAGCATTGTATTCAGTTAATGCCTACATTGCTTTTATAATATTACCGATAAATAACGACTTTGATAATAGAGAATGAAAGAATATCATAAAAAATTTCATAAAACACGATTTTCAAGATATTCTTTAAAATTATTGCACAGATAACTTCGTTAAATTCTGGTCAACAAACCGCAACTAGGGACAGAAAAAAATTGTATAAAATTCTGATGCATCAATTTTATAATTCCCAGGGGGTCATTTCATCTCAGGTGTTTGATTATCAACAACACAACAGCCAATATATACATTCCCTCTCGATGCTTAAACAATATTACATGATCAATAATTCCTTATTGAAATCAAAAATACAACACCATTGATTACAATCAAAATTGACAAGAATGACAGATAGGTTTTATTTCTCATATCAGAAATGAAACAAAGAGAATTCTCCGAGGAGATATTTCAATCAAGCAAGAAACATTCTTCAAAAAGATTCCTTTGAACATCTTGACTTAATGCTCTTTGTTCAGGAACATAGCTATAACTGTAGTTACTGTACTAGCTTGTATTTAACGGACTTTCACTTATAGACACCCTCACTAGACGGAAGAAAATTATATTAATTTTAAGAGTTATAACCATCTTTGTCTGAACATTACTGGAAGATGTTAAACCAAAAAAAATCAAAGGTTAAATTTAATCATAATTGATCAAGCAGTAGACCATTCATAATCTTATAAAACTGTGGAGTTAAAACCTGCCATTAAATGTTTTAAAGAGCTTAATATATTATTCAGATGTTAGGAGATTATATCAATGCCTTTCCAACAAGTTGTCACTAACATCAACACACAAAATCTACTACAAAACTTGGCCTTTCAGAACGCGATGACATTCTCCAATCTTTTAACTCGCGTACATCTACCGTTTTCTTTTCGCAATTGAGTAATGCAGTCAATTGGTGAAAGCTTCCATAGCCCCGACAAAGGAATTACACGACACAAAAGAGTGAAATCATGCATGTCTAAGTCTATCAATTGCCAATCCACTATTATGGTAAAATGTAGAGCGAAGAGGAACACACGTCAGTCAAGCTGTTTAACGGATATTACAGTTACATTGACTGCTGGAAATTAATAACGAACCTGATTACCGCATCAAGTGATAGGAAAAATATCAATCATAGCTAAAAGAGTATTGGAAATGTTATCCAATGACGCTATAAATACTGTTCAATACAATAGTTAAAAAAAAAAAACAGCTCCAATATCAACAGTTAATAATAATATTAATGCTGTTATATAACTCTATTCAAAACGCCATATCAATGTCAAACTTATTTATCTTCAACTCTTTAGAATGAAATGAAATGGGGCTTTAACATCCTACTGGGCTAATGAAGACGGGCATACGCCATAGAAATGAAATGAAATGGGGTTTAACGTCCTACTGTTCTGCTCCTAACCTGGGCTAATGAAGACCAGCATACGCTATAGAGTGTGCTACGAGGGAAAGTTTGCCCGGGCAGCCACACTATATCGAACTCCAACTGCCAATGTATACACGGGACCTCGGTTTTCATCTGAACAACTAGACAGCTGTTCTTGTCAGACCCACCGCCCTGCATCACTGGCAAGGGGGGAACCACGTCAGAAAATCACAATGAACTTTCTCGGCCAATGCAGGCTAATGTAAATGGGGCTTTAAACCTTTAACCTTATCTGCTTGAACAGCCAACTTAAATAATAACCAAGGGCCTGTTTCACGAAATTTTAACTAAGATAAAATCAAAATTTTAGTAATTTGATTGGATAATATTAGATTGTTTTTAGTGCTTAGCCAATCAAAATTGAATTATCTACTAAAATTTGAATTTTATCTTTAGTTAAGATTTCGAGAGAGAGAGAGAGAGAAATGGGGTTTAACATCCACTCGACACAAACTAGGTCATTTCGGGACTAACATATGGTTTAATTTTATTTCAATAATTCGCTTGCGCGTAGGGGTCTTTAGCAGTGGGAGGAAACCGGAGGACCCAGAGAAAACCCACGAGGTTGGACAGGCGACCCTACTCCTTGCCACGTACAACCGGGGATTCGAAACCACGCCTGTTGACTCAATGACAGGCTTTATGATACAGCGCGCGCTAACCGTTCGTTAAGATTTCGAGAAACAGGGCCCAGTTACTTAGATACCAATGATGTAATCTGATTAAAATACACATCCATATTTCGTTTATTTTATACGTTCGATGGCCTACAATACATGTACATGAAGATCCGACAAGTTGTACTCAAAGGTTGTGTCAGGGGTTGTACGAGCGGCTTTTGACCCTATGAAGTCAGACATTGATTATTCAGTGTTAACGTTTCTACTGGTTTACCCACAGTTCCTTGCATGGCACACCAAGAAGTCGCCATAACAGACCGTTTCATTGGCTTATCCCTCATTTCAACTAAAACACTGGTAACATAACAACTCTTCTAGATCCTAGTGTAGTAAAGACAAGTTAAAACGAAATTTTGAACTATAAAAATAAAGAAACGAAATAGGATCTGTGTTCTAATCAGATTGCCAATGATGGGAACACATTATAATGATTACTTTGCCAGACAACTCATCTTTCTCCCTCCAATTAAATTCAAGACTGTGTTTTCATGGTGGTTCATCTTGTGCCACTGAACTAATTGGATGAACCCCCATCGAATTCTGGTAGTTCATTAACAATATGCTAGTACAATGCTCGTTGACATTTTTCAGGGGGGGGGGGGGACGTTATATGCGCCATCAAACCCTATCAAATTCTGGTAATTCATTAATAATATATTAGTACACTTCTCATGGACATGGAATGACATGAAATGAAATGTCAGGTATAACCAGGATGGAATTCCACTTAGATATATTCAGCTGGGTTCAATTTTCCCCAGAGTCTAGTTGAGTTTGAATGCTATCATGAACAATTGTTTGCTTGTTAGCAAACCGTCTGATGAGCAAATTAAATATTTAAATTATTTGGGTTTTTTATTGTTGTCAGGTATAGGAGACGTTTTTCTTTTTGTATGTTTTGTTTTAAAAGTACAAAAAAAAATGATTAAACCTTACGTTTGAGTAATTTTTAAAACCAATGAAAATACATGTTGACTAATGTTACAATTATACACTTTTATCTTGTAGACAAACTTACAGACGATAAAGAGCACATAAAAACAATGGTGTTTCCAATGGCAACTGAAGTCATTGACCTCTTTAGAGAATCGAGCTGAATTTGAACATTAAAATACACAGATTAGAGCGAACTATGTTTTTTTTAAGGTGATATATAAAAGGTTGACTTACTACTTGTGTCCTGTTTGGGAAGGTTACTAGGCGATGTGGCCCAATTGACTTTCATTTCCTGAAAAATACAAAGAACCATTTCATTACATTTTAATAGCGTTGATAAGATGTCTAATCAAGCAAAGTATTATCATTACAAGTTTTATTAGAGAGAGAGAAATGGGGTTTAAATGGGACTATATGGTTTAATTTTATTTTAATAAATCGCTAGCCATCTTCCACTATTACTACATTATACAACTGTATCATGCCATCTTCCACTATAACAACATCATTGGTGTAAATAAAATGAAATGGTGTTAAAATTCCTACTTTTGTGCACCAGAGAGAGAGAGATAGAGATGAGATTTAACTCCACTGGACACAAACTAGGCCATTTCGGGACTATCGTATAGTTGTATTGTATTTTAATAAGTCACTTGTGCGTAGGGGTCTTGAGCTTTGGGAGGAAACCGGGAGGATCCAGATAAAACCCACGAGGTTGGACAGGAGACCCTGCTCCTTGTCACGTACAACCAGGGATTCGAAACCATGACAGTTGACTCAATGACAGGCCTTATGATACAGTGTGCACGTGCTAACCATTCGGCCATCCAACCACCAAGTTTTATTAGACACAAAACAAAGATAATGATTTAACATTGGACAACTTTGTGTACTTGTGGCTATACTTTAACATTGGACAACTTTGTGTACTTGTGGCTATGTGCAGTGACCTTTGAAAACATTCAGAATATATGTGAATTCTATATTAATGGTATGGTGGAGTTGTTTTACATGCACAGCAATGTGTACATGCTTTTGAGTTGGAGGCCAATGTTTCATACCATCCAAACGATAAAATGAAATGGGGTTTAACGTCCTACTGTTCTGCTCCGACTGGGCTAATGAAGACAGTCCAAACGATGAAACCCTTCCTTGTCAGCCCTGCAACTACTTTGGAACTAGACAGAGGGAACTAAGATAATTTAATCAAGAGTCTAGTGCCCTTATCATTGTGGCCCCCATATTATTTATAATACTGCTTTATGTTTTTATAAACTGAAAATGTTTTCCTTCAAGAAACTGAAAAGAACATAATTTAAATAATAATCAGCATCAATTTCAGTAACTTTAAAATGCATGAAGATTACTTAGAAGGTAAAAATGTTTTTCTTATGAAAAATTTGGAAATAGAAAAAAATACAAGGATTTTATGATTTTTTGGAAGCTTTTGTTGAAAATGTTTTTCTTCAAGAAACTTAAAAGAACATAATTTAAAAAAAAAAAAAAATTTTTTTTAACAGCACCAATTTCAATAACTTTAAAATGCATGAAGATTACTTAGAAAGATAAATATTTTTTTCTAATGAAGAGATATCACAATATTTTATTTGGAAAATAAAAAAAAAACCATTGAGGATTTTATGGCGTTGATCTCCTCGAAGCTCTTGTTGGAGATTATCTAGAAATGATTACAAGTTATTGACCACGGCACACTTAATAAATTTTCATGTCAAAATTATTGGCTACTTAATGTCTGCAGAAAACTATTGATAGGATATGAGTGGTATGTAAAGATGGCCTATACAGAAATACGTGGCTAATAACAATTCTTTTCTGGTGAATCCAAAAACAAACTAAGACCCCCGTGTTCTCCTTCTTCCGGAACCCATCAAAATTCATGCACCATGGTATATTACATTTATAATTTTTTGCATAGAAAACAAATAGAATCCATTGATCAACTACCCTGCCTCAAATAAAACAAAATCTAACATCAAAGGAAACATGGAAATGTATTTATGTTAGAGTGAGATGATAGCAGGAGGCTCTTTAGAAAACACCCTATTGATCACAGAAGATCAAATATTATCTTTCTGGCAAGTATAAACCTTGGTGCAACCACAAAAAGCAATATGTCATAAAAATAAAGCGTTATATGTATTGATCAAGGCAGGACGGAAGCTTCATATTGTGACAAACTTGATGGCAATTTGATCATAACTTCACATATGAACAATTCAACATTTTCAGGCTATTAATTTTTGTGAAACTGATAGACTTGTTGCATCTCGATTACGATGGTATTGATAAAGGGATATGATGAACTGGGCAAATATTGAACATCTTTAACATCATAACCAATGTCATATGATACAGAGGGGGATCACGTGGCTAAGTAGGTAAGACGCTAGCTCGCTAGCCTGGAGGTCGGGTGTTCGATCCTTGCATTGGCCGAGACAGTTCAACCAGATTTTCCGGCGTGGTTCTCCCTTGTCAGTGATGCAGGACGGAGGGGCTGACAAGAAAAGGCTGTCTAGTCGTTCGGATGGGACGAAAAACCGAGGCCCCGTGTACACATTGGCGTGCACGTAAAAGATCCCTTGGCAGTTGGAATTCGATATAAGAGTAGGCCGTAGTGCCGCTGCCCGGGCAAAATTTCCCTCACAGCACACTGTATGGCGTATGCCCGTCTTCATTAGCCCAGGTTAGGAGCAGAACAGTAGGACGTTAAACTCCATTTCATTTCATTTTATTTCATATGATACAGAGACTAATGTTCAATATTTCCATCTTGTGATAGCAAGTAAAATAACAAGTTTATAGGTTTTTGAAGTGATAAATAGAGATCAATGAAATCAAGGAAAATGCCTGCAGAGCGCATAAGCAATGTTCCTAGTCATTTGGCGGTCATGAAATAAAGAGTCCAACCATGTACATGTTGGTTTGCAAGTAAAGGAATTTTAAACAGCTGGAATTCAAAGGACGAATAACCAAAATTCTGTGCTGTCCTGGTAAAAAAAAAATCTCCTTGACAACTGAGAATAAAAATAACCATAAGAAGAGAGGGAAATGGGGTTTAACATCCACGACACAAATTTGGTCATTTCTGGACTAACGTATGGTTCAATTTTATTTCAATAATTCACTTGCAGTGGGAGGAAACCAAAGAACCCAGAGAAACCCATGAGGTTGGAAAGGCGACTCTACTCCTTGTCACGTACAACCGGGGAATCGAAACCATGCAAGCTGAGTCAATGACAGACCTTATGATACATTACGTACGCGCTAACCATTCGGCCATCCAACACCCCCAATCTATTGGTCTCAAACTGACTACACCGATGAAATGAAATGAGAATGAAACCGAATACTACTTGGACCGGTCACTTCATGTCCAAATGAAAGATAGGTAATTTGTTGCACAAACATTCTGCTAATAAACTTTGGCTAATAAGATAGACTGTCCTTTCTTGACAATATTGGTTGTAGAGAAATCAAGGAATATGGTCAGTGGTTGAGTTCGTGCCAGCAATAAGATGAGAAAATGTTCTAATGCTTCGAACAGCTTATAGCTCACGTTTACAGCTCTGTGGAGAAATGTTCGTTCATCCTAACCTCGGAAACTAATTCCAAAACATTGCCCTAATTCAACAACCAGCACACTGCAGGCAGTTGGTAAACCTGCAACTCTGATGGGCAAGAACAATCAGCAAACAACAGATAGAAGAAACAATTTAATTGACGGCAAACGTAATGAAGGTGGCCTTTAACAATTAGGAATTTGCTGTAAATTAAACAGTTTCTTTGCTGGCTGGTTGAAATCAAATTATCCTGGTCTATGCCAGTCAATTAGATGCAGTCACCCAAACTGGCCTCTATTACGCAAGCCTGCTAGTTGGCTATTCCATGGTTTGTTTGGTCAGAGAGTAAAAGAAAATATAATCAATATCATCCAACTAATGTGGTAAAAAGAATAAATATTACCTCGGTGAAATTTACACACAGTTCATGGCCTTCCTTCGTAACCACCATTAATGTGCATAGACTTCAAACTGAAGTACGAGACACAGCCTTCCCACAAAGAAAAAGTCATTACAAGAGATTATTGTGGCAATTTTCACTGTTAAAATTATTATCTTGGTATTACCAGAATTAAATATGGATTGTATAAAATGATATCTTGGTGTAACACTAGGTTGAAGACAACAAGAGGGAACTTTTTATGGCTTGTTTTAATTTCATTTAATCAGATTAAGTTCTTTTCCTTGGGTTTTATTACTTAAACGAGTTTTATTACTTAAACGAGTTTTATTACTTAAATGAGTTTTATTACTTAAACGAGTTTTCTTCTTGGCTTGATGAACTATAAACATCATAATTTTCCAAACCGATGAAAGGGCCAATAGCTGTAGTCACTAGTTACTTCCATGGAACTTCCATATTTTAATATTTTTGAGTTTATGTGGAGAAGAGAGACATCATAATTTTCCAAACCGATGAAAGGGCCAATAGCTGTAGTCACTTCCATATTTTTATATTTTTGAGTTCTATGTGGAGAGAGGGAGAGAGAGGGAGAGATGGGGTTTAATGTCCACTCGACACAAACTAAGTCATTTCGGGACTAACATATGATTGAATTTTATTCAATAATTCGCTGGCGCGTAGGGGTCTTTAGCAGTGGGAGGAAACCGGAGAACTCGGAGGTTGGACAGACGACCCTACTCCTTGTCACGTACAACCAGGGATTCGAAACCAGGCCAATTGACTCAATGACAGACCTTATGATACAACGCGCATGTGCTAACCATTCGGCCATCCAACTCCCCTTGATGAGAAAGGGACATCTATATATCTCTTTTCATGTGCTGCTCTATATTTTTTATATATTTGAGTTCTATGTGGTGACAAGATCATCCATATATCTCTATTTACATGTGCTATTAAAGAAATTTATTTTGTACGTTCCATGGAGTAGTGACATCCCAACATCGATGCCCACCCTAATATCCTTACTTTCCAAGTTATATGGTAAAAACTGATTGGTTTATATCAGTTGTCTTATTACTAAGGTAACTAATAATTGTTGTCTCACTACACGTTCACGTTCATGAGTTTGAAACAAACTTAACTGTGAATCGATATTGTACGTCACGATCATATCTATCAAGGGAAATGTTTTGACTGAGATATGTAAAGATACTTCTACAATATAAGATATCTACCCATTCTGACTCGACTCTAATCATATTAAGGCAAGCCTGGTTCAGTCCAAGGGCTGGTCCCATCTGTATT